AAGATAGAGGATCACCTCCTGATGTGCAGGCTCTCTTCCCTCACTGTATCCCCCCTTTCAAAATAAATCAAGGCTAACACAACTGTAAAAATGTAACTATGAGTAGCTGCAAATACTGCTTTAGAGAGACAAAAATAAGGATTTTTTTTTTTCAGGAGGTTTTGCATCTGAGTTTACATTATTGCACCAGAATTGACCCTTCCTGAGTAATTTCATACCCTGTGCAAACCAAATGAATTACTGAGGACTGGTTTATAATGTATGCATTATGTTTTTAAAAGAATACTATTAAAGAAACCTCTGACAAGTAAAGTAGCTTACAGTAATCAATTAGAATATGAGAATGAAACTAATTCAGTAAAACATTGCTAACGCTGATCTGGCAAACCACTGGTAGCCATCTGTCTAATCCTTCTTGTGTTCAGAAGTTGCATTTTAAAAAAACCTCAGTTATTAATAGTGCTCATTAGCTGCCAAGCAAAAGAGCATGCCACAAGCTTCTGCTCAGAGATTAGATAATATAAGTAAATACTACTCGCTTTTCCAAGTTTGAGCTAGGACCTGCTATGTGATCTCAAGGCCAGGACAATTTTTCCTACTGGGGTCCACAGGGATAGGAGAGACTATAAAGAGCAAGGCCAAGGCCAGCCAACAGTCTTCCTACAGCCCTTCAGCATCAATGGCTCCTCAAACTCCCTGCTAGACAATCTGTTCCAGTGCTGCACTATCCTTACTGTTAGGAAGGGTTTTTTAATATCTGAAGTACATTTTCCTTGGTGCAATTTAAGTCCATTACTCCTAGTTGTGTTAATGCACATGGAATACAGTTTGCTCCTTTCTTCTATGCAGCAGCTTTTTATGTATTTGAAGACTGTTGTATGACCCCACTCAGTCTGCTCCTCTTAAAGCTAAACAATTTGTCCAACATGTATAAAGCCTGATTTTTTAAAGTGTTGAGCTCCTGCCGTTCCCATTGCTTTCATTCAGGTGATTGAGAGTGAAAGAACTTCACTACAGTTGATGATCAAGCTGTATTGTCTGGTGCCCTTTAAATACAGATAGGTATGAAGGGCATGAGTGCTGGTTATAGCTGTATACATGTATTCTTGTCTTCATAATAAAAGCATATTAACAGAACCTGTGACCAGTCTTCTGACTGCATCCTCAGGGCAAGAGTAACTTCACAAAAAAGCAGATGTTAGTGGAAACTTGGCTGCCTCATATGCCAGGCTTTGCTGAATCATTTGGACTAAATAGTTTTCTCTTTTTCATGTAAAACATATCTTGGCTGATGGGGTCTTTTATTTGTTTACATTATTTAAATGGCTACTGTCAAAACAGTGTTCATGATTATTTTATAACTATTTGCTGTTGTTGGAAAATATATACTTAAGGACCATGAACTAAAATCCTTTTCCATCTCTAAACAGAGGAGAGTGAGATTTACACCTACAATGGGCTTCTCATCAGAAGAAATGTTGAGTTTTGTGCTTAGGGTACCAGAGCAGAGTTCCACTTAGCATCACTTGGAAGGATGTTTTAATAGTGAATGCACTACAAAATATGTCATTATCATCTTGCATTAGTATTCCGTGGTGTGTAGAAATAAATCTCACTATACCTGTTCTTTGCCTCTCAATTTTGATTGTAAATACAGCTTCCTTTGTGTCCATGTAGGCCCTCATGAAATCGCTCCTTCATGTCATCGGAGGCTTTTGGTACAATTGTAACGCAAGCAACAATAGCTCCTTGTATTGGTTCTCTTAAATGTAGGGTTATGTATTCTGCCTTTCTGGAGAAAGAGTTTTTGAAATGTTTTGTTTTCTTTTCTTAGAACCTCTCTCCTAGCTTTGAAACATAAGTTCCTCAGACAAATACAGAGAACATTTACAATTACAAAGTAAAAATAACCACTCTAATTTTCAGCTACCTGTCATTGCTTCTTTTTGAAAAAAAAAAAAAAAAAAAAAAGGAGAAGGAGAAGGGAGGGAGAGTAAAAAGGAGACTTTAAAGGTATTTCTCTGTATGGCTTTTTCCTATCCAGCCATGTCCTTCATTCTTGTTCATAAAATTTCATCTAACTGCTGGAAATAAAATTAATTGTGATAGACATTAAAATACATGGGGACCATGAAGTGTGAATGCTCAACTCTCCTAATCTTGTTCTGAAATGGTATACAACAACAACACAGAGATTTCACCACTGACAGTAAAGCTGACGTAGTGTCCTATGGCAATAGGCAATAATGTGCAAAAGATGGAAGTGAACAATCATACCAATGGTTTTATACCTAGTCAGATTATTTCCCTGTAAACACCTACATTTAATTATCCTGTCATCTATCTTCCCCTCCTCCAGAGCCTCAATAATTCATCTGTGCTACATGCATACTACAGCTCTTCTCTTCTTACATGGCTTACTCAAAAACCCTGCCCTCCTCCTCCTTCCAGACACACACTAAATCTTCCATTGCTCAACCAATGGATTGAAATATTAAATTATAATATTTACTGATGGAAGGATATCCTGCTATTAGGGCCTATCTGAGTCTGGTTGACATGAACCTGTAGATTGCTCTTCTAAGAATGGAGTAAATTTTACCATCCATCCTTTTTTCTCTGTCACACAAAGCAAAAACACCAGCAGGGTCTTTGGGGACAGGTGGGAAACAGTAACAACAAAAGCTTAAGATAGCTAAAGGGTCCCTTAAGACAAAAGGGAAAATAATTTGATAAATTTTAAATCCACATGGTAAATCTTACCTGTGCATTGCACGAAATTGGTTGGGTGAAAGATAAATCATAGCATATTCCTTTACCTGGTTACAGTACAGCATAAAACTACATGGTTTTGCTTTTTGATGGGTGTCTGGACTAGGCATTAGCAACCTCAGCAGAAAGAGCATGTCCTTGTTGCTTGGTTAATTGCTTAACTCCCTATGAGAAGTGAGAATATTTTGTCAACAAAGAAGCTTTAAGTTTGTGTAATACATCCAGTGTCTTGAGGGTTAGTTCTGAAGGTCTGACACAGCCGTCAGCAGTCAGGCAAAGGCAGAGTACATGTCAGCTCACTGCATCTCAGCTTCCAGACACAAAAGTCATTGCTGGTGCTGAAGCCAAAGGCTGCCCTGATTCTACGTTTATCATCTGAAGCTTTCCCCTTACCAAACGTAGCCTTTGGATTAGGTCCCAAAAGCCGACTTTCTTTTCACTTTAATCAAAGACACCAGTTGAGAAAGTCAGGAGTAAATAACATCCTTTATCCTGATCACAACCCCACAGTTTCACATGCACTGAGACAGTGTCCTACAGAGATACCACATTTCTCAGTGAGCAACACTTTAGCAAAAAGTGTCAAAGTCTTCACACAGGAAAACCTTTTGGCTAAAGCATTCATAAATAGCTTCATTCTTTTGGTTCATGACATCACTACAATGCCTTAATGAAATGGCAATTTCAGGAGGCTAATTTATGCTCTAATTATATATTAGTCTGGGCTTAATAGTTTCTAGACAGAAAAAGGTTTTCTTCAGGCAATCTTTAATTCCACTTATTGTGTTTACTTAACAAAGAGTAGTCAGCTTTTTCTGTACTTTTTCATAATAGAGTTGATCTGTAGTGTTACCTAGCTAAGTGCAAACATCTACAGTCATTTTTGATGGATTCTGATAATGGTAATTAACAAGAGCAAGGATTATTTGCAAATGTAGGAAGAACCAGGCCAAAAAGCTAACAGAGATGCTGCTGAAAAAGTTTGAGATCTTCAGCTAGAATGCCTTCCAGACCAGTGGTAGTTTAGCAGCCAGGTAGTTTAAGGAAATTCGGGGAAACATTTTCTAACCAATAAAGAGGGTCTCTGTGGAAATCATTTTGCCTGTATCACTTGAAAGAAGATATTCTTGGTTTGTTTTTGATGCCTCTGCCACAGGATGAAAGCCCAGCATTGTTCATGATGTGCAGAATTCAGAGAATTTGCACCTAACTGAGGCTTTATAAGCAGAGAAGCACTTTAGGAAGGCAAATAAGTCCTTCAAAGCTATGAATCACCTTGTAAAGTGTGTTCTCTGTGCTACCTACAGTAGACACTCTTAATATTTGTTCCCAGAAAAGTGCCTATAGTTTGTCAGAAGGAATTCAGCCTAAGCAAACCAAACAACAAACTAGATAAACTAGTTAACAAACTAAATAAAACATGTGTCTTCAACATAACCTTGCTACTAGCCTTTGTTGTAACAACAACTTTTCACTATAGATAAATCCTCAGCCAAATTTTGAGCTAGTATAAATCAGGATCAGTCCTCATTTTGCTGAATCTGTCCTGGGATCTAACGCTGAGTCTAATTGTGGCACTGGAAGTAAATGTCTGTGCCATTTACTGTCTGCAGGATAAACAGAAACTGACAGTAGGAGGAACTGCACTTAATATTCATGTGAATAATAAGGATTTCAAGTATGATTCCTATTCTTTGTATAACAGCTTCCTGCACACACTATAAAGGTTTTCCAAAACCAATCAACAATTTGTAGAATTAGAAGCCGTTGTAGCCTCTTGTGCCATCAACACCTGAGCTTTCTCTGAGACTGGTTCAGCCTCTGTCAGGGAGAGGAAACGAGGATATGAGCTGATGGTCTCATTCATTGGATCAATTCTCACATCCCTCCTCCCAGGGTTGACTGCCTCCCCTGTTCCCAGCTGGACCAGCTTAAGCATTCCCAGCTCTGCAGGACTCAGGCACCATTGCTGGGAAACACAGCCAAGGAGCACTACAAAAGCACAGAAACCAGGAGGGATGTGCATTTGGTATTTGTATGACCCAGCCCTAAAAACACATTGTAGATCAGTGAATTTTGGTGGAGTTGTGGGGTCAGGAAAAAAAAACAAAAAGGAAACACACTTGCTGAGATGTTTTCATCTGAGAGAAAGTGTGGAGTAGATCAGAATGCACTGAAAAACTACTGATTTTATGTGTCTCTTTTCTTCTTTTTTCTTCTAGAAAAAGTAAGCATACTGTCAACCTTCATAGCACCCTTCAAGTACCTGAGTCCTGGTGCAACCACCATGGAGGATGAAGACAATTTGAGTAAGTAGTCTCTTTTCCATATAGACAGATAATAATAAGGTTCAAAAATAAAAGCGCTACAGTGTAGGGGCAATTGTAGAAAGGAGGTGTATTTGTAAATGTTGGCAGGCCATAAGCCCAGTCTTCATGTAAAATGCAAAATTCCCTGATGCTGAGTACAAACATGTTCTCCAGTTCCAGCTAAAGAGGAGTTAATTTCAGCTCACCTTCCCAGTTTTCCCTGTGCAGACCTTGACAAGGGAGAGCTGTAAACGGTGTGTCACAAATACAAAGGAGAACTTCTTACAAAATACAGATGTTCACACTCAGCTTTACAGGTCTGTGGAACTCCCTTTGTTGTTTATATTACCTTATTCTACTCACTTGCTTTTCTCACAACCCCTAAAAAACCAGGACGTTCTGATGCTGTGTCTTCACCCAGTTTTGTTTCCTCTGTTACAAAAGCTCTTTGCAAAAGTAAAGACTGCAGGATTGAGCCATCAACTTCAACTGTTTTCTCTTTTGCTTCTGTGGTATAACCCAGAGAACAAAATAAAAGAAAAATAAAGAAAGAAGTCTAATCCAATTGAGAACAGATGATTAACCAAGCTTAAACAAACCAGATGTAGGCCAAAACTTAGTCACCAGATTCTCTTGGTCCCTTACACCTGAACAGAGTCACTGCCACTCCCCAAACCTGTGACTGCAGCGCTGGTGGAAAGCTCTGCTGGGTTTGAAGGAGCTGTGAAGTCTTCAAAACCAAGAAGTCTGGGAGTGTGCAATTAGGACTGAATAACTCTCAGGAAACCCTCACATTTATCACCTGGAAGCAATTATTGTGTGTTATCCAGCCTTGATTATTGTAACACATCTTGAATCATTAAAAAAATGGAGGGAAGCTTTCTGAACCAAATGAGCAACTCTGAGTTTTAGCATCACTTACCAGATGGGTTTCTTTTCCAGCCAGACACACGCTGACATGTTGCCCTCTTAGAGCCGGTGGGTGGGAGGAATGGTGTTTATCCCCATTGTTGCTAATCTGCCTTGGTTTCATCACGGTGCAGCACCAAGGGGAATAGCTGGTGAAGGAGAGAAGGAGCACAGCCCTCTAGTTTCTGCTGCTGAGTAGCACATGGACATCACACCGTTCTGCTGCACAGGGACCCGCAGGGTTTTACATATCTTAGCAAAGGCAAAAAAAAAAATATCCTGAAAATCCTTCAAAATTGGTCCCTGGGAGGCTACATTTTCAGGAAGAGATATGAGAAGTACACACAGGAAACATATTATGCACATGATGAGCTTGTGCAGGCACCTCCTGCGTAATGTTTCCCAAATGTGCTACTTAGTTATTTTTAGGTAATGTAGGAAGTTTGTACAAGCCAAACAGTGTAACACCATTTTCTTATTGCTGCTGTAATGCCAAGACTGCTTCGCGTCTGTGCTGGCTTTAAAATAGCTCACATGGACAGGGTAAGCTGTGTTTTCTGAAAGAGAAATAGCAAATTTTGCTGGTTGGGGACATCCTGCCTAGTCCTCTCTTGGGTCAAATGTACGCTTCAGTGATAAAGATAGCAATTTTTGTCTTGGCACATACAACACATTTATAGGTGTTACTATTAGAATCTAAAAAAAAAAAAAAAATTAATTAAAACCAGCCATATTTCAGTGTTCACTTCTAGTACAAGGCATAAATCCCACTAATTTCTATAGCACACCTGTACCTGTGCAGTAATTCATCATTTTAAAGAGCTTCAGTGATTTGCTGTGAACAAGCAGAAGAACCTCCTTCTGTGTTAACAATTTAACATGAGCCTAGGAGAATGCTAGCAAGTCAGATAAGTGATTTGCTTATCCCTGTAGTTTTCTGCTCACTGAGCATCCTGTTAGAATGCCCCTTCCTGGACTGTGCTATATTGATAGCAGCTGAAACAGATTCAAATCCTGTTTCACATTCCTTTAGGCTTTCTTTACAAAACTAGTTTTGCCGGGTTAACCACACATGTATTTTCAACTGGTGATTATTAGCATATAAACACTATTATTGTGGTTTATGGTCCATGAACTAATACTAGAAAAATGTATCAATGGCACTAGGCACCTTTGGAATGGCATTTTGGGTAAAATAATAATCAGTCTCCAATGAAGACTTTATCTTGAACATGTGAGAAAAGGACCACCCTATTCATTTCCAGAAGCTGATTGCACCTAAGAATGTAAGAAATGTCAGACAGGATTAGAAATAGGAAGTTTAGGCCTGCACATGGTCTTTTAACATTTGCTGTTAGGGATGCATTGAGCAAAAGGGCATTTAAATGGTGATCTTCCCTTCGGTATATCTTTCTAGCACCCAGCATGAAATTTATTCAGCCAGAGTTTGCACCTGAATCATATTTCTTAGACATCAACAGACCTGTCTAGTTCTCTTCGGAGCCCCCTGATACTTCTGATCTCAACAACAGCCAGGAACAGGGAGTTCAGTCATTTAGTGTGTTTTCAAAAAGTGCACACTTTCATTGCTTTAAGCCTGCTGTCTCTAGTGCTTAGATTGCATGAAACAGTGCATAATCATTCCCTATTCACTACCTTCGTACCTGCCTTTCTTGGTGTAACAGACCTCTGCCTCTCTCCAATCTTTAGTTGTTCCATCCACACTAAGCCACAGTGTCACGATACTTGCACATATAATCCAGGGTGTACCTCTAGCAGGAGCCTATGATTCCTGGGGATCTCATTTTGCAGTGCTGCCATGTGTACGGATGGTGCAGCACCTTTCTGCAGGGGTATACCTCTCCCCAATGTCTACAGAGGCAGCTGACGGTGGTGGTCCCCAACATACGGATTTCAGCCACTGCAACAGTCTTGCAGGATGAATCCCAGCCCAGAGTCAGTGTACTGAAGCATGTTCAGTTATGAGTATGTTGGTCAAATTCCTCCTCGGGTACCATGAGGCACCAGAGCTTTTGATTGTGCAGTGTGTACAGCAGGGACCTTACCTCTAAGACAGTGAGTATCCCCTTCCAGCAGTCAGAGCCCCAAGCAATCCCACACAGAATCAAACTTCCTGGTTTTGTTTTGAAAACTGTGTCTTTTGTCATCGTTTGTATTTCTCCCTTGCCTAAAGCTAAGCTATACTCTTGTCCTGATTCAGGAAGGCAAGTACACAAATTTGTTTCTGCAGGTCAAACAGGGGTTAGATATTAAAATGCAGAAAAATAAAAATTAAGTCCTACCTGTGTTGTTGAAAGTACACTGGTAGCAATCGAGTGTTTACTAAACATTTCTAAGCACAGTAACTTCATATTATCAGTTGAAATATGATGAATTGAAATATGAAATTGAAATTGATTAGTTGAAATATGAAATATCAGAAATATCAGTTGAATTAGCTTTTTTATACTACAGAAATAGCAAATTCTTTCTTTGAATATCAGTTTTTCAATAATGTACGGCCCCTTGTAATTCAATATTAAGGATGCCAACCAAAATGAAAATGCCACCTACCACCTCTCCTTCCCCATCCTCCCTGGAAGTTAGCTTGGCAGCAGAATAACCTTCAACAGGAACAATATTATCTCTTCAAATGTAGCGTGGAGTATCGGATGGCTAGTTCTGCAGAACCCTTATGACCCAGCGACATAGACAGTGTCATTATTAGTGATGCATTATAGTTCTGAAAAGTTCTTGAGAATGCAGACTCTCTAGGTTAACTCTACTGTGCATAATGACCAAAAGGAGAAAAACATGAAAGAGCAGACAGAAGATTGAGGTATACGGCATAAATAAATATGTTTCAATAACTGCTTTTCTCTCTCCCATGCAATTACTGAAGCAAATACAAATTTGTAATGTCTCCTCTTGCTTGTGAAACTGCAAAAATCAATGAATAAAGTTACCTGAGGAGATGTCACAGAGGTGTGGGACTTCTTCAGAAATCTTACCCAGTAAATTAAGAACTATTGCCAAAAAAATTGCAATATTTTTCTTTCTCTTGTTTTTTAACTCCCTCCCCTTACAATTGTATTATTCTCCAACCTTTCATCATAGGAAATCCATGTTTTATTAACATTTTTTTTTCCCCAAATGCAAAGAATGTGTTTTGGGAACTCAAGAGCAAAGATATTATGAGAGATAAGAGGACTGAAAATGATCCACAGTTTTGCATTTTCCCTGTGTGCATCCTCCGACTTACCCCTTTCCTTTTAGTGCTCTTCATTTCTAAAATTGCTTGTGATTGTTCTATTACAGCTGCTTACAGTATTTATCTTGCGTAGTTTGGTGTCATTTGCCTGCTTTGTCTGATTTTCACAATAGAAGTACATGTTCCACCATTAGAGAGGTAATCTTATGTCTGCTACACAGAGGTCTCATAAAAGACACATTTCAAAGACCTCCTATTTCAAAGATACCTGAAAGTATAAAGTAATTTCACATTCCCCGGCAGCTGCCAGGTACCGCACAAGTCCATCAGGCTCACAGACTTTCTGAGGCACTCACTGTATTTAGGCTGCCTCTGATTTACATGCCATGGTGACTTGTGGCCTGTTGCAGCTCTCACTGAGGTCTGTGAAGAACTGAGCTATTTCCTGCTCTTTCTGGATCAGGTCCTCTAGAAATCTGGTTGACTGGATCTCCTTCGTGGTGGTTGGGCCAAAACATGCCATAAACACACGTCACCATCACGCATGCCCCATGTTGTGCATGTATCTTTGTGGCTGATCTCTGGAAGTTTTACACTTGCATCTCTGCATTTTTTTCACTGCATCAGCGCAAACTCCCTGTTGGCCAAAACCTGGACTAGACAATTCCATGGAGAGAATTTAGGACAAACAAATATTGTTTATTTTATGTTGCCATGTTTTTAGTTAGCCACTGTGTTAGTGGTTAGTGAGGGTGATTAAGGTAAGATGCTAAGGTCACACATTCATGTTCACAAATCCATGGTTCTCTACTATGAAAGAAAAAACAGCTGGAAAATGAAAATCTGAATTATAAATAAAAATAACCCCTCAAGTTTTCCTATTCAGTAGTGCATAATCAATACAAATTATTTTCAAACCTCAGTATAGTGTGAAGCAAGAGCTGTCTTACTTTTCATGCTTCCTGGCTACAATATCATTAGGTACCATAATTGACTCTGTAAAACACCTAATAGGTAAGATGAGAGAGATGTGAAATACCGAAATAAACCTGCTTCCTGTTATAAAAGTATGCCTTAGTCAAAATATTACACCTTTACTGAAAAAAAATCACGCAGCCAGAGGGGTGCATTCTGAGTGGGATGGAAACATGAGAAACGCGTCACAGTGGAAAATAGCTGGCCAAAGCCACTGCCAGGGTAAATAGAGCAAAGTTGAAGCTGGCACCTCCTTCCCTCTCAGATCAGAGCTTCCACAAATAGAGTTGTGAACTCAATGAGAAAAGACCACATTATCCTTGTATCTTAGTTAACCTGACCTTTTAAATGTCTTATTTCCAGGGAGGCTGGTTTAAAGATGTCACGTTTTATGTGGCTGAATGCCATATGATGAAACTTTTCTTTCCATTCTTTCCTTCCTCTCCTGTCTTCATTCTCTCCCCTTAGCTTCAGAAAGTAAAAACTGACTGGTCACTACGGCCTTAACTTCTCAGTTCACGTTCTGCCTCAACAAAGCACTGCAGCAGATAGGTCTGCAAATAACTTTGGTGAGACATGGGCACAGGCTGGAAGTTCAGTGTGTTCCAAAGGTTTTTCAGGAAAGGGAGCCAAAAGACTCAGTCCTGCAAACGGGCACCCACACGTGCAATTGAGCCATGATTTTTACTCATGTCTAAGCAGTGAGCTGCTTTCTGTGGAAGAACTTGTATGAAAGCAGACTTATTGGTCTGACAGGAAAAAGCCTCTTTGATATTTAATAAAAGTGCAACTCATCAGGGTATAGATGAGGTTTTTAATCATGATGGTTGGTATGCAGAGAACATAATTCTCTGCAGGCTCCTGCGTATCTGTCAGCCCAGCCTAATACTGGGCTGCAGCAAAGACACATTGCTCCAGCAGAAGCTCCTGGAGGCATAGCCAGCAGCTTAACCCTTATATCCTTGCAGCCAGTTTGTACATCAGGGTAGAGGGGAAAACAAATATGGCCATGGCCCCACAGAAAGTGAGAGGATCATTCTCTGTCCTCGAAGGACCGCAGGGACCTACTCTGTGCTTGTGACTCATGCAGCCTGCACAGGTGGCTCGCTCCTGTTGGTCAATAAGAAAGCATGGGAAACGCTCCGTGTTCAGTGCTGGATGGAATACAGCAGGCAGCCAGGCAGTGCTCTGCTCAGGAAGAGATCAGGTGCATTGCTCCAGGGATGAGTTGCTTCATGGGTTGGTTACACTCGTGTTTACTTCTTCAACTTGTCTCTGCCTCAAGGAATGTGCAGGAGGACTGGAGGATGTATCAGAGGTGCAATACATTTAAACAAACCTATCAGAAATGACAGAAATATTAGAGAATGCTTATTTAGACAGCAGTAAATTTCATGTCTCATTCAGGAAATCAGTGAGATGAATCTCCATTCTCAGTCATGCATCTGCTGTAGCAAAGGGCACTGCCCCCCAGCATGGGTAATGCACAAGAGTAGTTCAGAGCAGTGTGTGACTTACTGGTTCAACAATGAAGGGATGCTCCCTCCATAGCTCCCCACTGCCATTTCATTCCTTTCCTTACGCTCCTGGCAGTCACTCTCTCCCGTTGCCTTTCCTTGACACAGATCATTCTTTACATCAGGAATTACTTTCATCGTGATGCTCTGGCTTTCCCTAGTCTCATTTAGATTTATCTAAATTTTTTTCAGTATTAGTTCTTGCTGATGCAGGAGTTAAGAGTATCTGCAATTGAATTTGACAGAAAGATTCTCCCTTATTAAACTGGAATCTGAGTCCAGACGAGATTATTTTTTCAAATGCTAGGAAGGTCTGTCAGATCATTTATTAGGCTGGATTCATGATGTTAACAAAGCAAGAGCCTATGGTGTGAGTAGAGCCGGTCAATGTACTCAGAGCAAATAAATTATTTAGTGCATTTACCCATTTTTCTGTTTGTGAATCATTTGTGAATCATTTCTGATTTCTAATAATGTGTTCATAAGCATTCGCCCACATGGATTATAGAACAAATCTCAGCCTAAGGGAACTTTGCAAACTATTCACTTTTCACTAGTAATTATCCAGTGTGAATGCAGCAGTTCATTTAAGTCACATGGCATCAGTTATGCTTCATCTTTGAATGATGGAATCTTTTTTTAAAAACAGGAGGCTACTGACTAATACAAGTAGAACTTTAGGGACAAATACACATCCACAATATGCAGAAAATCTGTGCTATAAATAATAAACCAATCATTATACAGATATTTGAGGAAAACCCAAAAAAGGGCTGAGCAAGGATATCTATCATTAACTTTTCTTTTTTGGCTCTTCTGCCAGCCCTAGGTATAATGTCAGCTACTATGATGACAACTAATATGAGGTATTTTCGTTCTTAACTGACAGGTACCAGCAGTGCAGAAGTAAAAGAAAATCGAAACATTGGCAACCTGGAGGATCATCCAATATCCTCTAATGAGAGGGCAAGAGGGGGAACACCTAGCAGTAAGAGAAAAAGACCCTTAGAGGAAGGCAATAATGGCCATTTCTGCAAACTCCAGCTCATCTGGAAGAAAGTCTCGTGGTCAGTGACGCCAAAGAATGCTCTGGTTCAGCTACATGAACTTAAGCCCGGTTTACAATATAAAATGGTTTCGCAGACAGGTCCAGTGCATGCTCCAGTCTTTGCTGTTGCTGTGGAAGTAAATGGACTTACGTTTGAAGGCACAGGGCCTACAAAAAAGAAAGCCAAAATGCGTGCTGCGGAGCTAGCTCTGAAGTCATTCGTTCAGTTCCCCAATGCCTGCCAAGCTCACTTTGCCATGGGCAACTGCATCAACCCATCCACGGACTTTACTTCCGATCAGGCAGACTTTCCAGATACTCTGTTCAAGGAGTTTGAACCATCTACACACAGCCAGGACTTTTCAGTCTATAACCCCGTTAATAACGAATTACTTTCCACTGCTTATCGACACGGGCGCTTACTCTGCCATACGTTGGACTTAATGGGCCACGGTAAGCAAAACAAGCACAAGATGGCATCCAAAGCAGAGAGTGAGAAGAACCCAGTGGTGCTGCTAAATGAGCTGCGGTCGGGCCTGCGGTACGTCTGCCTGTCGGAGACCGTGGAGAAGCAGCACATCAAGAGTTTTGTGATGGCGGTGCGCGTGGACGGCAGAACATTTGAAGGCTCAGGACGTAGCAAGAAGCTGGCCAAGGGTCAAGCAGCGCAGGCGGCTCTGCAGGCCCTTTTTAACATTCAGCTGCCCAGCCATATTCCCAGCAGGAGTAAATGTCACTACTTGCCACAGGTGAGAGCTCCTGGGTATCCGCCACCACGTTGGAGGAATTCTTTTGGGATCGCTATTGCTGTAGCTGTTGTTGTTCCACCAGATGGTCCCTCTGACATTATAGCAAGTGCCATGCCACAAAACAGCCCTTTTCTCATAGCAAGAGCCAGATGCCACAGGCAAAAGCTTGAAAATCATATCCTGAAATCACTGGGTACAGTTGCAACCCTTTCACAGGAGGCATAGATGTAGGAGCAAAATGTAGGGGGAAATACCAGTGTTTCAATTTGCTAGAGAGAATGGTAACATTGACACAGAGAAAAATCAGGTCATTCTGTGATACTGCATCTTTCTTGACAGAAAGGATGCCCCATATCCTCCTTTTAGAGTTAATTTTTGAGGATGACAGTGCCATTCAGAGGAGACAGCAAAATCAAGGAATTTGCCTGTGTCAGAACAAACTCTGCAGACACTTCTGCCACTAGAAAAGTTAAGGACTTTTGTTTATTGTATGCTTACTTTTTGGGCTGGTTTTTTTTTTGTTTTCAAATATACCTCCAAAAGCACAAGGGATAGTGAAAGCTCTGAAGTTTTCTTGGAACAAATGTAGAGAGTACTGATGTATTCATACAGAAAATACAGATCTGAGGAACATACTTAGCACATCAAAATTTCGTAGTTGGTCATATGCCAAAATCTATCTTAGCATTATTCAGACATATGTCAATTTTCTAAGTTCAAAGGAAGTCAGGATTTGCAGACATTGGGAAGCATTACATGGGTTCAAGCAATTTCTTGATGTGTTTGTGCTGTCATAAAAGGTTTGATCCACCAGCACCAGGGGGTGATCTACTGCTACAAAGCTCCCTTTATGAAGGGAACTGTTAATGTCCGGGATTTAATGCAAAGCACTGGGAGCACTAAGACTCATTCTGCTGCTGGCTTGCTGGGAGACCCTAGGCAAGTCATTTAAATCAAATATACTTGTAATAAAAATGAGCATGTTATATGAAAGAACACTTCAAGATCCTTAAGTATTGTGTAAATGCAAATTATTAGTAGCAATTCCCATTAACATTAGTAAAAATGTTCATTAGTTCCTCAAGGAGTTTGATAGGAGATAAATCCTTTAGGTGACATGTTTGCCTGCAGGACCCAGGAATTATATTTGGTGACCCAGAAGTTTCCTTCCTATGTTTCCAAAAAGGAAACAAGAGACATATAAGATATTGTGAAATACACCATAATCCTCCACCTCTTCCTTTTAATTCTGGTTTGTAAACTGCATGAACAAGCAGGAGAATAACATAAGTTTTTAATAGCAGTGATTTTCACAAAATGCTCTGCAGGCATTTTGGAAGCCTTGGTCATCCTGGCAGTTCCATCCTTCCAGTACTCCTCCAAATATGGATAGTTTAAATGAGAAATCCATGCTATTTCCTGCCTAAATTAATCCTGGTAAAAAGTAGTTTGTTTTGATGAACATGCCTATCTTCCCCATGGAAACCTAGCACTTGGATATAAAGAGGAATCGCTAGTCCTGTCCTGCTGTCTGCTTTGCTGCCCCCAGTGAACCTTGTTGGGTAGGTCAGCAGGTAAATACTGTGCATTTATTGACTGGTGGCTTGTCATGTTCTGAAACTGCACCACAAGCATCATTGCTCAGTTACTGAGCTCTCTGAAATATACCTTGGTTTCTTGGCTTCACCTTCATCTTCTACTTGAATATCACATCTTACCTGAGTCCCAAAGCTGATATATTTTTCAGTGTATACATTCCCTTTTTTATGGCCTTTTTTCCTTTATATAGATTTCTGCTCTCCTTATCTTCTTCTCCTCATTGTTTTAGAAGTATAAATGTCAGTGGAAAAGTGTCACTAAACTTTGTCAGTATTTTTTGAGTGGTTATGTGTTGTCCAACTAAAAGATTAGTCATGCACTTTTAATCCCAGGATGCAACACACTAATTGAGAGATAAGTCTTAGCACTGATTTCTGCTGGCCTCTTTACTAGCTGCTGTCATCAACAGACATAGCAGCCGTGACACAAAACGCAAGTTTCTGTTACTCACTTAAGTCATAACCCAACCTCCACTGAAACCAACTGACGTATTTCCACTGACTTCACCTGAGCTATAGCTTTAGCATTAAATCCAGAAGCATCTTTACTTGTTCTCTCTGTGTTATGCATGTTCTGGTTTTGTCTGGTATAGAATTAGTTTTCATCATAGTAGCTGGTATGGGACAGTATTCTTTTATGGGGTAGCTCTATTTTGGGTGTTTTGTAGAATCCAAGAGTATATTTACTTCTGTGGTTGGTCTTTACACAGAGTATTCCAGCCTTGCATGTCTCTGTTCCTGTTCCACTTGCTGTTACCAGTGGTGTTAGGAGGCCAGAATTTGACTTTTCCTGATTACAGCCTGATTGGAAACAGTAAAAGCCAAAAATCTTGTAATATTTGTAGTCCAGTTGTGCTGAACTTACGGATTTCTCAGTGTCCAAGAAAGTGTCAAAAATGTTCAGATGTCCTTATGAGATGGGTCTCCCAGCTGCTGACATTTCTGCTTTGCTCATCAGAGCTCCCAAGTGACCTGGCATCCCTCAGCCTGGCCCTCGGGCATGCCCTAAGAATGACAGTCACTTTTCCTGCTAAGTCACTTTTCCTTCTGACCAAGGGAGATTCAATATAAAATGTCAAAAGAGGGACCATATCCTCCACTCCGTCCTGAGAGGTGCTGCCTATACAGGAGGCTTCCTGAACCACTTCTCAACTCAGAGTACTGATGTAAAATCCTGTCACCTCAATCTCTCCTGAATCAGGCATAACAACAAAATGCAAGAACAGCAAAGCCAGAAATAGATTAATTCCCTGGAGCAGCTGGAGTCCAACTTGCTTCTTCAGCTGTCTCTTCTGCCCTTTACCCACCAATGCTGAAAACCTACCATGAAATTGTGAGCACTTTACAGTAACTGGTGTTTTCTTAAAAGAACAACACGGTGCCTCTGATTTTCACTCCTGTGATTGTTCCACAATATGTTTTCACTGACTGCAAAATTATACCCCAAAAATAAACAAAAGCATATCACACGTTACACCAGGAAAAATTTATAATCTCATAATTTACAACCAAAATAATTGAGATTGTGACTTCTTTACCATCAGCAGCAGTACTTTGATCCACTTCTGTGATTTTCATAATGTACAGTGATGGCTGGGACCTTGAGCTCTTGCCCCTGTATAAGGTGTATAGAAGGTAGCTGAGATAATCCAAGGACCACCTAAAATGTTCACAAGATTTGCCCATCAATCCCTCAGCTACTGTTCTTACTCAAACCAGATGTCTTATCTGTGCTATGTCACCAAAGTGCAAGATAAATGCTATTGATGGTCTGAGGCTGGGCACACCATGTTGATCAGAGTAGCCAAGATAGGAGCCTGGAGATCTGTTAAACTAATGACAGAGATAAAGTGAGTCAAAATGGAAATTGCAATGCATCACTGTGTGCCTTCTCTAAGTCACTGAATACTGTGCCTTTTTTCCTTGTTCCCTACCACACTTAGTCTGAACTCATGTTGTCCATCAAATAATATGCAGTTTCTTCCAATATCAGCTTTTATGGAAGTCTGACAATTGTTTCTCCCTACCTTGGGGCCTATTTTTCTTGTTATCCAGAATAGGAAACAGCACCAACAAGTGCTAACCCTGACAGCCCTAAAGAGTCTGCACTGGTAGAAATCCATCCACACACTCCCAGGTTTACAAGTGCAGTGTGCTTATTTCAGGAGAACAAGGTGACCCCTAACTGCATCTGACCAGTTTACAGACTCTTTTTCTAATTTTATACTCCTTCTAATCTATCTCACTCAGTCTAAACAGCATTCCTACTGCTGTTGAGCAAAACCATTAATTAATATTGCCATACAAATTAGTAACAGAGGGGTGCTTGGATTTCAAATGGACCTAAATTAAAAAAGGATAGGTGTGAAAATCGCATTCACTCTGCTTTGAAATGGCTTAACGCTGCTGTTGCTGGTTCACATCCAGAGCCTCCAGTGCAGTAGTTGTCAGTTTGTTTATTTAAACAAAACCTCATTGTGTTTTGTGTGTGTGTCAGCAAAAAGAAGTAGGGTTTTTTCCTTTGGCAAATAAGGCCAACCAATTGAATCCAGTTAAACCCCCTATTTGCCAAAAGCTTCATTTGCAGACCAAAGCAGTCTGAGTATCCCCATTGCACTGATTCTTTACCCAAGCAGGTCAAGGATTCCTGACAGGTGACTTCAGTGTCACCTTGATGAGCGATGTCTTAGGAAGAACAACTACTGGACCCCACATCTCTCCTCCACTTCCCTCCAGAAGCCTGTTTCTCTATGCTGTAAGATTGGTTCGTTTTCATCCCAACTCAGTTGTTCCTGCCTCCTTTATTTCTCTAGGTACCCTCATTTGCCAACTTCGATGCAACTATGCCCTCTCTCCTGTGTCACAACTGAGCTGGGGCTGAGGTTGGCAGTGACAGATCCGACTCCGGTGCGAAGAGGGGCAGCGCACAGCTCGCACTGAGCTTTGAGAGGCTGTTCTAGCGTGTTTATGGGAAGAGCTTTGTCTGGTCATGGGACCAGGTACATTTCTGTATAACAGCCTCTGTTTTCTCCTCAACAAAGAGAAGCAGCTGATAGCGGGGTGTGTAGCTCCTGAAGGAAGGGAAATGGTGGGGACTGGAGAGATGCCTCTGCAATACAAATAGTGTTTGATTTTCGACCATCTATTTCTAACTCTGTAGGTGGGGAAAGTTGCTTTTTATAATCAGAGCAACGGGCAGTCAAGACATTTATAGGATTACAGTTTCTTAAGCAAAACAATGGCAAAGGAACCAATTTGGAGGCACAGCATCAGTGCACTGGATACTGTTATTATTATCCTGGCTGCTAATAAGATTGCCGTTACTTCTAGGCTCACAGTTGAGGAACCAGGACCATCCCCTTCTCCCTCAAACAAGTCCAACATAGAAGATGATTATTACCC